GGGAAAGGCCCTGAATTGGAAGGCAGGTTCCAGTTCCATACTTGATGTGTTCAGACAAGAGACGACTCCTTGCTAAATCTTGATTTCCCCAATCTCAAAGTGGTGATGTTTTTGATCTCTTTCAGTTTTAATAATTTGTGATTCTGGATTAAAATGAATGCTCTAGATAATGAAATGACAGATGTGGCAGAATGGAAAACAGAAGCTTGTTTTCATTTTGATACAGTGATGATGTCTATTGTGTGTGTCCTCCTGATTGCTCTAGGGGAATGTATGGTAAGTAGCCTCCATAAACAGAACATAAGGTTCTGCGTGTTTGGTAGCCGCTAACTTTGCCCAGCCTGGCCACTGCACAAGGTGGTGATTGTAGCAAACTCATTTCAGGCCAGTGTGAAGGTAATGCTCAAAAATTCCACCTGTAAGGATGGTAATACTGAGGTTTGAAGAGATAAAAAAACAGCTGTGCACATGGACACAATTATGATGCATGTGAAAAGCTGAATTGTGCTGACTCTTACTGGTACTTGGTTTGTTCTCTGTCTATAAAACTAAAAAAGAAACATCTTAGTAAATTTAAACGTGCACACAAAGTAGAATTGCCTTAAAGATACTTACAATTTGTCATCTATTTGCACCATCGTTCTATGCTTTAACTGCGTTGGTTTATAATTTTAAATGTTTTGATGTTTCGTGGGTATTAAAAATCACAAGCATTATCAACAATGTATTTATTTGCCTTGCATCTAAGAGATGTGGTAATTGCCTATGGCTTGGAAAATGTGTTGACTAACAATTAAATTCTCCTCTTTCCTCTCATTTTCATATGACTGAGCTCCACGAGGTTTTGGTGACTGCCTGGGTCCTATGATTTTACATGGAGTAGCATCCTCATTTCGGGAGCAGAAGGCTGCCATCAAGGTGAGATAAACCCACAAGTCTATCATACAGCATCCAGAATGACACACTCTAACTGGCATCCATGGGACAGAGATTTTCCCTGGAGAAGGAAAATACAGCACTTCCCACAGACCACTGAAAGAAATGAACCAATTCCCTTTGGCTTACTCAGATGTTAATTTACTATTTGAAATTACTGTGATTTATGGGTTACAGACTGTCCAAACATTAGGTCTCAAACTTAAATATGAGAGTTGTCTTCAAGACGTATTATGGGCTATCCTGAAATCAGTGCCTGATTTCTTTTTGGTTTTTGTTTAGGGTTTTTTCAAATTTCTTTTTTTTTTAATTTAATTTAGTTTGTTTGCTTATTTTTGAACCTCAGTTTTCCTATTTTTCTGTTATATCTCATAAGTGCACAGCACACTGTCATAGTTAATCCTTGCCATATGTGATGTATAGTTTTGCATATTCACTGTCTTGCAATTGTATTGCTCCTTTACTCCCGTCCCTCCTGGGTGTCCATTGTAGTGTATTTGACACATGTCCTTTGAGCCCCTGCCTCTGCGAATGTGCTACTGGGCCATGAGTGGATAATGCACTTGCAGTCCCTGTCCTGGTTCCTGCCTACTCACGGGTTACAGAGTGGGGAAACAGAGAGAGAAAGAGCATTAAAATCACATCCCTGGCAGTGGGGTGGGAAGGACCCCTGGTAGGTCAGGCAATAAACATCAAAGTGCAAAATGGCGTGCTGTCTTGGGGGCAGCAGTCACAGCTCTGTAGTGCTTGTCACCTGGAAAAGGAAGCACAAGAGGAAGCTCCCAAGCCTGAAGGACATGGAGAGTGAAAATGGGAAGCCTCTGGATGGCATCTTGAGCATCAGATCTTAGAAAGTCTGGCAGAATGTGGCCCCAGGGTATAGTAACTGACACTTAGCGAGAGTTTGAAAAATATTTAATGAACAAAAGGATATGTGGATGTAGAGGCAATAATGGGGCCCCTTCCAAGGGAACATTCCTTGGAGAGTTTTAATACAAACCAGAGGAGAGACACTGAGTCACCTGGCCCCACACCTCACTCCTTGCACCTCTGGAAGAAAAACAAGTAAATGTGGCAGAGAAGGAACAATCAGAGAGGGAGGAAAACTGGGAGAATCAGTATTTTGGAATTTTAGGGAGAACCAAGTTTGCCGGCAAATACCTCAGTAATCAGTTGGTGGTCACTGGTGAATAACAGTGACTGTAACAATATTTACTGATGGGGAGCTGCTGTAAGGGTACCATCCGCATGACAACGTGTTTATGGACAACGTGCTTGGCCAATGAGCTGTACGTAGACAGCAGGAGAAGGTGCAGGGCATGTATCTCTAGTGCTAACTGCCAAACACTCTGTTCTGGAGGCTGCAGAGAGAGAGAAATAAGCAGACCACTCTAATCTGACCTGGAGGAATCAAATAACCTGAGTGTTGGACCTGAGATCATATGGGACTAGGATTTGTGTTTTAGGAAGAAGCTAAGAGAGAGTTTAGATTTTCTTTTGAAAGAGCTTCAGTACCTAGATGGCTTTCTGCATGATTTGCGTAGATTTAAAAGTTGTGTCACAATTACCTTTCAAGCTGAAACATCAGTATGGATGATTCCTAAAGCAATCCATATAAAGTACAGCCAACGACTCACAAAATTATCTGGAAGGACTGGTCAGGTTATCCCAGCATTGTTTATTTGGCTTTCATGAACAATTTCTCAAACACTTGCTTGGATCTTGAGGAGTCTTCTTGGAATAGCAGAATGGTCTCATCCTGTTTCTGCAGGGTAGGATAATGTTACATCAGATCTGAGACAGGATGCAAAGCTGCCTCAGAGCTGAGGAGAATCACATGGAGCTTAATTTTCTAAGTTGGTCAAGAATATCAGTTGTTGTCTCCTCCGTGCAGCTACCAAATGTCCAATTCCATTTATCTGAGTCCTAGGAAGAGGTCGTCTGCTGGGAAAATGGTAGCCACACCATTAAGCAAAGGAGTGGTATACAATCCTCTCATCTCCAAGGTCTGGCATAGACGTATATAAGGTTTTTCTGTTGCGTTCCAAGAAAAAAACCAGAAGGCAGCTTTTAGTTGGGCCCCTTAGGAAAGACTAATAAGATCTTAAGAAGGCCAGACTGGGACTGGTCTATTTTTAAGGCTTCAAGGTATTCCACCATGCATTTGTGTGGATCAAAACACAGAGCTTCAGTCAGCTTTAAATTTCTTGGTTTCTTGTAACTTTTATAGTTTCCCAGAGGGGTCACTACTGGGCCACTGTGGGATATTGCAGGATTTTCCAAATAGCCTGAATAAGGCTTCTTTATGTCACAGAAGAAATCCCAGAAATCTAAACTGTACACTCTGCCCAGCAGCCCACAATATGATGGATGTGGTTTTTCAGCTGACTCAAAAGCCATCCTTGCTTTGTCAGAGTCAATGGGTTAAGGTGACAGTGGCATGGTACATGAAGCTTTGCCTGTCCCCAGGACCCTGGCCACCCTGAAAGGCCATTACTAATTCATATTTCCAGACAGCTTTTGCAGTTATCCCTACCACACAAATTAATTGGAGGGATTATTGGAGGCCATGGTAGGAATGCCAGGTAGGTATGTGTTCCCTAAGAACCACAGGATTCCTTTTTCTGACCTGTTACTATTTGAAGGTCTACATACCATTGGTTTATAGGAACAGTCTAGAAACACAAGAAGAGGCTCAGACAGAGCTGGGTCAGGGCTAGTTGGTGTAAGATACAGATACAAATTCATTAACATACAGTCAAGTAATGTGCCTGTTGTGGGTTGGTGGTGTGGGAATGCAGGCTGAGAAAGGGTGGTGGAAAGACCTGGATCCTGGTAACCCCAGGGAGTCCTTGACACTACTCACATATCCCCTGGAAAATCCACTGCAGTGGGAAAGAATGCTCTCTCTACATCAGAGGCCATTTCTGGAGAGTAACCCTATTGACCCCCATCTCCTCCAACTCATTCATTCCAGTACACTGAGAATCCCTTGAGCTTGGCAATTTCTGAATGGAGAACCTTATTACTCAGTGAAGAAAAAAAAAAAAAACAACTAAATTGTTTAGTGAAAAAAAAAAGCATGTCATTTTGGAGGAATTAGTTTGATTCATGTAGGCAAATCTATCCAGGAAGTTCAAAGTGAAATTTATCTTGGCCATGCCCTGCAAACTGCCTGAGAGCTACCCTGTGCAGAAGTGACACACAGTAATTTCAGAATAACTGAAATTACTACTTCAGGAGATGTGGCAATTATCTTTGTCATCCGGAAGGTGCATTTTCTTATTAGAACTAAAGTTTTTAACTTGGCTTTTAGCATCCCTTGTATGCTCTTAATGTCAAGAACAATTTCTCTGTGATAAGTTTCCCATCTCTTCATTTCATAGCAGTCATGTTGCTGGGCACTGGTATGCTTTTGCACTGGACTCCCATTCCTGATGACCTGGATTTCTTGTAAATTAGCCCTTGGAAAACTCATGAGTCAATAATAGTGATTTCCTTGTTAACACTTAAAACATCAAAGTCAATAATCCACCAGAATTTGAGCCATGAGTCAAAAATACACACCACACTGAAAAGTAAGAAGACACATTCTCCATCAGCCTACACTGTATATGGAATTCTATTAGCAGAAAAAGAGTCCAAATCAGAATGAATTTGTCAGGCAGTGATGGTCCAGTGAATTGACTTTCTGTTCTATCTACTCTAATATTTTTATGTACCTGAAACATAAACATGCCAGAAAGAAAAGCGACCAAAAGAATGAAGCTGGCATGGGAAGAAACTGCTGAGTATGAGGTCCTAAGATTGTCAGTAATTCAGACCAGGAGTCTCCCCGGTAGCTGTTATTTGTGCTGCAGTAATTGCTGGTCATCGGGGACACTGAGTGACCAGCAATGACCAGAATGAAGGAGGATAAGGGAAAAGAGAGACTATGAAGCACAACTTGGTGGAGGAGAAAGCATTTTTCTGCACAAATAACAACTCTGACAGAAATTGTTTCAACGAATGTGTCCAAATGGAACAAGATTCAAAATAAGGGAAAAAAGACTCGTAAAAAGGAATTAGGGTGACTGTTGGAGATTACCAAAGGTTTATTTGGAATGACACAGCACTGAGAACATAACTGTTACAGATGATTTGTGGATACAGCATACACCACCTATTTTCTTTCACGGTGACTTGTGCAAATGAGTTGCATAAAGAGAAGAGGTGTAAATATATAGGAGCTCTTTTAAATTGGTTCTTTGGGCTGGGATTAATATGCCCCATCTCGTAGCCAATCTCTTAAAGGCAGGAGGGAAGATCATAGCTGCTCCTCTCAGACTAGCCTTCCTCCAGCCAGAGCAGCTGGCAGCTGCGTGATAAGGCCCTGCTCTTCTTCAAAAGGGCAGTAGCTTGGATATGCTGTCATCCCATCCTGAAAACCGCACATGACAAACATGGATACCGTGAACTTTTTTGGCAATGGGATGGCTGGTTTTGCAATTGTAATGCCAGACAGCGTAAGAGCAACGCATGTATCAATGACACTGGGCAGCAAAGAGCTACAATGGAAACGAAAGAAAGCAACTATGTATATGTAGCCTTCTGCATACACATAGATCCAGCAGCTGGGGGAACTAGCTTGTGTGACAGTGTGTCCATATACGTGTATATATAGGTGTGTTGGAAAAGACCACTGAAAACATTTGCAGCAGATAATTTTAAACACGGTAAACTTGAAAGGGAGAGAGAACGTGCTCACACCTGGGCAGGGGAGTAAGATCAATTTGTACTAAGGGAAAATTCATCACATCTTCTGCAGGGCAGACACTGGATATCACACATTTGGTGCAGAGAAATTAAGGTCCAGTCCGGAGAAAGCTATTTTAGAACTGGTGGGAGAGCAGTCAAGTACAAGAGTGTCCACAGCTTGGACAAAGCACAAACCAACTTGTTATGGACCCCATGGGAAGAAAATGAGGACTTTTTTTCCTTCATGTGTTTGTTTTTCCCGCTTACATTTTCTTTTTCACACATGCTCTACTGATAGGTCTTCCCAATCTTTGTCTGGCATCGGTCTGTAAATCGTTAAGAGCGTAATAGCAGAAGTGAACTCTTCAGGATGTCACGAAGGTTTAAAAACCCAGTCGGTCAGCTCTTTCGGTAACAACTGCAGTTCTAGTCCAGGCGCCGGGTGAAGTTCTCTGGAAAGAGGCCTTTGTAGGCAGCCAGGTCTCTGTGCTGAAGCCAGTCTGATTCCTTTACTCCCACCAGCCAGCCTGCATCCTGCAAGACAGTACAGGTGGTCAGGACCCAAGAATATGGAAACATGCACTGGCATTAGCCAATCATATTGAGGTTCTGCTCATCATGTCACAGAACATGACAGTGGTACGATGGTGTGATTAGTGGCAAGGCCTGTCACAAATAGGCTGGTGGTAAATAAATAAATAACTAAGACTAAGCACTTGAAATTATTTATGTGCTGTATGAAGTATCATTGAATCAAGACTAGTGCTGATATCACAGTTTTGTTTAATGCATAATTACCTGATATTAACTGGATTATGATACAAGTTATTAAGGAAGAGTAAAGCCAGTAGTTATGGCAGAGAAGGAATATGCCCTGTCCTGCAGGTCACAGTGAACTTCGGCATAAGAAACCTTAGTTATTGTGCTATGAGGTCATAGAAAGTCTTGCATGAGGTGGGATCAAATATAGACTGAATGCTTAAATTTAAAAATTAATTACAGGAAAAGGCACATTGCTAAGAATCCCCCTCAAAATCATTGCCCTCACTTCAAACACAACTTATTTCATGGTTCTTGCTGTTTTCTGAAGCAGTTCTGGAAGTCGTCTTTTGTGAGTGTCTTTATGAGCTGTAAATATATGAGCTGTAAATATTATGAGCTGAAAAATACTGTAAATGCCACTGCCAAGTGTCATGCAGTGGGAAGGCAAGGTTGTAAAAACATTATAGTGTGTCCTCATCCACCTTCTTCATCAGATCTGGCTCTTCTCAAAGTCAAAATGACCCTCAAAGCTAAACATTTGGAATCAGTTTGGACATCAAGGCAGCCCACACAGCATAACTAAAGACACTTAAGAAAGAGGACTCTCAGAACTGCTTCAGAAAGTGGCAAAGATGATGAGGTATGTGTGTTGGAAGGGAAGGGAAATATTTTAAGGGCGATAAATGGCAGTGTGTCTTTAAGTGTAATAAATTTTAAATTCAAACATGCACTGAAGTTTTCGGTCATACATCGTGTTTACTGTGTAAACTATAGTTAACTGAAGATTAAAGTTAACGTTCTGATTTTGTATAAAACATTGTCTATGGACATCAACTACATTATGGTAGTAGTTTTTATGGAATTCAAGGGAAATACATAGCTAGAAGGAATGTAAGGGTCACAGTGAACTCAGGCTTGAGAATCCCTTATTAGAATATCAGGTTGGTAAGGCCTTAGAGGGTCTTGTATTTCAACCCCAGGTCACTTGCTTCTCAGAAAGTACTCACATCACAATTTCAAGGAATCACAGGATTTACCATCTACTGACAAGCTAGATGTGTGTTGCCTGACACTTCTCTGGTTGTTGTTATTATTAGTACCTGGTTTTTTAGTTTTACATGAACTACAAAGTAGTTAAATGTTATGGGCTTCTTCTTGGAGACATTCTTAGATATTTTTATGATTCAACCTTTGTCATATAGAACTGTCATCATAAAAATGTATTTGGCCACAAAAAGGTTAAAGAACCCATATGCAGGAGGTCATACAGAATTCAAGGTGATACTTAAAACAGAGAAATAGGGTTGCTTTGAACCCTTAGCCTGAAGAAGTCACAGAGCCCAGCTGGAAGCAGCTGAGTTGGAACGGCAGGAAATGTGCAGATTACACAGAGTCAAACTCATGGAAAATGACTATCTTTATTACGTTAACAATGACAGGAAAGAGACCCCACTTAAGATGAGGGATGGCTAGATTTAATCGAAACCAATCACCCTATAGGGTTCAAGTACATCAGATAAAATGAGGTTTCAAAAATTAAAGGAAGAAACTGAATGCATTCCCTTTTGATATAATCTGAGACTATAAATTGAAGCTGCCATATAGGCAAGAAATAAAAGCCCCCGACAGGCCAATTTTTGAAGAAAAAAAAAAAAAGAATAAAAATGATCCCATAAAATAACTGGCAATCTCTTGCTGATGAAGAAATGTGACCTCTTTAAAATTATAATGTCATATATATGAAGGATGAAATTATACTTGAAGTAAAAGATGATAACAAAATATTTTCTGAACATTTTGTGTGATTATAAAAAGGTGATTTTCCCCAAGTATCTACATTTGATTTTATTTACAGTGTGTAAAAAATTTAATGGGACCGAGAACCGTTAAGCATTTGAAAGTGGTTTCAATAAAGAAAATGAGTAAAAGACTTCTACAAACCCATAATAAAAATATATTCCAACGCATATATTCTGAAATGCAACCTAATGTGGAAAGTGAAGGATATTACCTGATATCCATCTTCAGTGGAAGAAAATTAAATTTTAGCTGTTTAAAATGCATTGTAGACAAGGACTTCCAGTTCCAATAATGGCAGAATAATTTATATTAAACAAACGTTTCTGTACCAAGTAATAATAAATGTTAAAATAGCTGACTATTTCTACATAGATGTGCGTATACATGAATCTATACATAAACTGTTATAAAATATTTAAAATAACATAAATGTATATGTAATGAGGTGGGCATAAATCATGGGCACTAACCATTTGGAATTATTTATCTATTTATTTATTTATTTTGATACCAGGAATTGAACTCATGACCTTGAGCTTGCCAGGCAGGCAGTGTGCCACTGAGCTATATCCCCAGCTCCTGGGCACTACCTATTTGAAGGCACCAAGAGTGAATGAAGGTAAACACAGTGGAAGGATATCTAACCTTTGCAAAGAGGGAGCTGCAGCAGATGAGACTTACTCTAACACAGCCTTTCCCTGAGGACTGTCCTCAGTATATATGACACAGTGCATTCAGCAGACAGAGTTCAGAGCCATCAGGCAGCTGTATCTCTATGAGGGGAATATCCTGAAGAACAGGGAGGCACAGATCCCCAACTATAGAGAGAAACTTCTCTAAATTCCTAGGCTGAACCCCAGGTTTGTCTTTATAAGTGACACTCAAGAACCCTGGGGGAAAACAACAGTGGAGCAGTTGGAAACCTGAGCAGAGATCTTAGGACTGCCAATGGACGGGAAGAGGGAGGAGCTGAGAGTCTGAGGTAGGAGGATAAGCCCTGCAGGATTTTTACTGACATATCGAGGAATCCATATCTTGGACATAGAGCATTTCAGGAGTAGAAGTTTATGCTAAGACTAAATACTTTCACCTTAACAAAACACAACATGAACTTCCACAAATAATTACCATAAGTAATTATCCAGTAATGTCAACCAATGCCTGATAGAACAAAAAGAGGCTTCAGATACAGAAAACAGAAGCCATATTTGTACAGTGGTTTACGCAACCATTAAGAAACATAAGGAAAAACCAGAAAAATCGACCCAGACACAAAAAGAAAGCAAGAGAAATGGTCACATTTTTGGAAGTAGCAGTAAAACATTCAAAGTAGCTTTATAAATATGCTCAAGTACTTAAATTGAAAGATGGTAATGATAAGAGCATCGATGGGGAATCTCAAAACAACAAATGGAAACTATAAGAAGGAAGAAAATAGGAAGAAGGAAGAGAATGGTGTAAGAACAATATCTGAACAGGAAAAGTTACTGGATAAGCTTAATAACAAATTCAAAGTAATAGCAGAAACAGTCACGGTTACTAGGAAATGGGGCAAAAGAAATTATCCAACCTGACCACAAATGAGAACTATCCACTGATCAAAAAGAAAAAAAACAGCATCTTAAACATTAAGAAATGGAATATAGTGTAAATGAAAATTTAAAAGGAGAGGAGAATGTGACAGGAAAAAAGGAAAGAAATGGCTTCAAATTAAAGCTTAAAATTTTCCAAATAGAATGAAGAATACTAGGTGACAGTCTGAGGAACCCTAAGTGTCAGGGAACCCTAAATGTAAAGTCATGAAACACGTTAGTCAAACTAACCCAAACCAAAAACATACAGAGGAAGTCTCTGTCTGTGTACAGAGAAACAGTATTAAATAAATAAATGATTGCTTATTTCTAATTATAGAGACCAGAAAACAGATGAATATCTTTGAAGAACTGAAGAAAAAAAGTCATCTGAGGATTCTTTTCCTAATGAAACCATCATTAGAAATGAATACAAAGCCAGGCGTGGTGGTGCACACCTGTAATCCCAGCTCTTGGGGGCTGAGGTACGATCTATGTAAGTTCCAGGCCAGCCTGGACTATAAAGTAAGACCTGCCTCAAAAAAAAAAAAAAAAAAAAAAAAAAAAAAAAAAAAAAAAAGATTATGAATGGAGACATTTTCAGAAAAACAAATGCTGAGAGGATTTGTGGCTGGCATATCAATACGACAAAATGTAACAGAAAAAGAAAATTTTTTTTGTCTTTTTCCTTTTTATCGGTACCGGGGATCAAACTCACGACTGCCTGCTTGCAAGGCAGGAGCTTATGCCACTGAGCTAAATCCCCAGCCCCTATATTAATCTTTTCAAAGAACAAATTTTTGGCTTTACTGACGATATTGTGAGGCTCTATTTTATTTTATATTTATTATTTTCCTTAGTTGTTTTATGTTTTTCTCTTCTTTGTTTCTTTAGCCTTAAAACATAGAATCAATGTGACTATTATGAAATGTTTTGTAACTGATTTCTTTGACCTATGTATTAGTTAGAAACATGCTTTTAAATTTTTTAATATTTGGACATTTTAAAATATATTTTAAGAAGTAATTTCTAATCTAACATTATTATGGCTCTTTCATTGGTTGATTATGCTGGCAACTGTATTACCTGTCAAAAGACAGAACAAAATATTGGTCATCTCAAAAGCAATAATACCTAAGTATATGTTATAGAGAAGGTTGATAAGTCTCTTAAAAAATATTGGATTCATAGTAGTCATAATTCTTTTCAGAAAAACATTTTTATATTTATATGCAATTTGCATATCATTTCAGGAGTTCACAAATCCCGTAAAATTTGATCAGATGACTCTTCTAGGAAAATTTATTTTTTAAGGTCTTAAGGATTTCTTTTGAATTGTGATATAATTTAAATGCTGTACAATGCGGAGGTGATGGGTGTACAATGACTTTTGATGGATGCACACATACATATAAGCACACCTGCTCTTCCATACTGTTGGGTGTGAATGCAAATTAGGACAGCTACTATGGAAATCAGTGTGGAGATTCCTTAAAAACTAAAACTAGAAATTCCATTTGACCCAGTCAGTCCCCTTTTAGGTATGTTCCCCAAAGAGTTAAAATCATTGTTTGAAGATACATGCATACCTATGTTTATGGCAGCACAATTTTACAGGTAAACCTTGGAAACAGCATATATGCCCATCAACAGATGAATGGGTAAGGAAAATGTGGTATTTACACCATGAAATACTACTCTGCCATAAAGATTAACTTGGGGCATTTATAGGTAAATGGATAACTTGAGAAAATAATGTCAAGAGAAGTAAGTCACATACATATCAAATATCATACTGCTTCTATTATATGATAGACTCACACACACACATATATATGCTCACAAATAAAGAGCAAAGTAGAAGATAGATAAATAGGAAGTAGGCAGATGTTCAAATAATCCCTCAAATTATCTATTGTCATGTTTCAAAAATATTTTAATATATAAGCTAATTTGTTTCATTTATACAACTAGTTTTCCTTAGTTCATTGAAAGGAATATTTTCTGCTATTGTGTTTGTTTCTTCTTTGTAAGAGAGAAGAACTGTTTTCATCTGCCTTGTACTCTGAATAACTACTTTAAAGACAAAGATACCCAGCATATTAACTATTGTTATTATCTTACTTTGTTATGACTTTTCTTTTTTCTTTTTACTTTTTTCATTGTAAAGATAAAAAACAGAAAAATCAAGAAGTAAATAACAACAACAAAAGCAAAATGACAACAACAAAAACAATAGTAATAAAGGATTTCAAAACAAGTTGACAGGAACTTAACAATGGTTGTTATATTGCATATTGTTATCCTTCAAGTAATTGCTCAGGCTACCAGATACAGGCATGCAAGATTGGTCACACAATATAATTTCCCTGTGAGCAGTTTCTTTCCCTTTTACTATATCTATTTTAACTTTTGGATCCATGGCTTTACTTTTTCATAAAATAAAAAAAAAATTAAACAGAAAAACAAAAAACAGAATTTCCATCTCGCTGGGAAGTACTTCCATGTTCTTTCCCAATGAGCCTCCATATCCCTACAGGCAATTACTTTTGAAGAGGATTTGTCATTCACACACATCTCTGAGTGACAGTGTCTACTTCTTTTCAAGATGTGACTCTCCACCTTCAAGGTGACTCTCCATGACAATTAAGCTTGAATGTGCCAACTTGAATGGCTTTGGGATCTACCTTAGGAACCGGTGGATTGCATCTGTAGGTGTGTCTGGGTGGGTCATGGAGGCATGACCTTGGGGTCTATGCCTGGTACTTGGTCCCTTCTTTCCTGGTCCTGTTCCCACGATTTGCTTCCCAGCTGGCCATGAACTAAGTATCTTTGCTCCACCACATTCTTCTCCCACGATGTTTCTGGGTTGGAGCCAACCTATCATGGACTGAATCCCCTTAAGATATGAGCCAAATTAAACTCTCCTCATTTAAATAGTGATGTTGGGTATTGTGTCCAGCAATGGAAAAGCTGATACACTAACCCTCCCTTTACCTAGCGTTCTATTTTTAAGAGAAGTTGCACCTAAGTAACTCAGATGTTTAGTCTAGTCTTTTGTTACGTTTACAGACCCAAAATATCCTATGACCCATAGAATACATTAGAATACACCACACCTCTCCTTATTCTTTAGTTCTCTACATAACTAACATGCAGCATGTAAATAGATTTGAGGCTTAGCACACAGAAAAATAGTATGTTTGTCTAAAGAACTGCAGGAACCAGACCCAGGAGGTCAAGGTCCACTGAGCTGTTCCAGCCAGAGAAGAAAGGAGACTCTCCTTCCTGTTCTAGATGACACTGCTGTCAGCACATAGCTCTCCTGCCCCCAGTCCCTGCTTCTTCCTTTGCTATCCAGATTATAAGCCATTCTTAAAAAATTCCCCAACTAAGATAAAACAGGGAAGCTGCATATGACACTCCAATGTGATTTGATTAGTTTTTCCTCCCAAAGTTTCCTTTCTGTCCCTGAGTTTCCTGAGACAATAGAATGACAGCCCTCTCCATCTTCCAGAACTGACCCTCAGATAACACTGATTTCTTTCCCATCAACTCTCCTGATAATTGGCTTTTGAGTAGCAAGCAGCTGAATCTGAGTCTGCTAAGACATAGTATTAAAGACAAGAAAAGGTCATCAAGTTGTGTGAAAAAGAAATAGGGCAATTATATCTCAAAGGAAGCCCCAAAGCACGTTAATAAGCCATTAAACCCTCCTCAGAGTCGGTCTGTAGCATCTTGGAAAACAGAAATGCCTTTGGGAAGCCAGGGTCCAGTGGTCTCTGCGGAACGACCAATGCGGGCTGAAGCATCTTCCATTCTTATCCTTTACCTGGTCAGCTTCTGAATCCGAGGGGACCACCAGCACCACGTCACCCCTTTGGAGGGTAAGTTCATCAGAATTTGCTGCCTCAAAATCATGTAGTGTTTCCACCTAAAAATACATATTTGAAAATAAGGAGATGTAAAATGAGTTTATAAAAATCCTAGCTGGATTATAAGCAGGTATACTTAGAGTGCTTCTCTAAAAGGGATAAAAAGATCAAGATGCATGGTGAACCCTGCTGTGGTTCCAATATGCTTTTATCCCCCAAGGTTCACGTGTTGGAGATTTAAGTCTTTGATGTTGCAATGTGAGAAGTGGAAGAACTTCAAGGGGTGGAAGCTGTGGGAGGTCACTGGGGTACAGCCCTCTAAAAGGATTAATGTCAGTCTCATAAGAGCTTAAAATTCTGTGAGATTTTTATGAAAGAGTAAGGCTGGCCCTTCCTCCCTGCATTTGTTTCCTGTGATATCTCCCTTTGGATGGCACCATCTACCTTGTGACACAGAGAAGGGGGCCTTCACCAGACCACTGCCAGGCCCTTGGACCCCTAGAACTGTAAGCTAAATAAACCTCTTTGCTTTATAAAGCACCCAGTCTTAGGTATCTGGTGATGGTAACAGAAGACAGGCAGATAGACTGCATTTCTTCTTTATGAAAGTATTGCTATAGTTCTTCCTTGTCTGGTGCCATTTGGAATGAAGGGGAAGCAGTTCTGAGAAAGAATGTGTCTATTACAAGAAGTAAAATATAGGGAAACTAAAGGTTGGAGACAAAAGGACTCAATGTAAACAAAGGGCAGGTGGCCACAAGGCGGCCAGAAGGACCTTGTAGAGAAAGCCAGGAGGCAGTTCCTGGGAGGCCTGGCCTGCAGGAGGCGCAGCCTGGGTGTCCTCCCCTGGCTTCTGCTCCATGGCCAGCTCCGGCGTCTTGCCCGTGGGGCCTGCAAAAGCCACATCCTCAGGGCCCTCTTTGGTCTCTGCACCCAGGCTGGTTTCATGTTCTCCATCACCTTCATTGTTGGAGGCAGGCTCGATGACCACGGAAGGAATGACTTTCTCCTAGGGTAAGAAGAAGGTGCAGGAATTGGGACATATGCTGACTGTTTCCTCCATCACCTGCCTCTACTCCTGAATAATTCTCCCACACCCTATTACCAACCCGCTGTTTCCCCAATTCCACAATCTTTCAAATCCTGGTCGCTGCTGGGCCCTGGCATCCTCTCTGTCTGTCCAGAGTACCAAGCCCTTGCTGTAGCTCATAGCAGGACCCTGCCACAATCCACCACGTGGGAGAGGGAGGTTTCTGTGGACCTGGAGAATGGTGGCCAACCCAGAGGAAGACCGAGCGCATCATGAGGGGCTGGGAACAACCCTGGAAAAGGAGCTGGTCTCATTTTTATAGAGGCCATTCTGTCCCTGATATGGAGTCTATGAGGTAGTGACTCAGTGTGGCTCTGAGTCCTTAGGGGCTCACTCCCTCCTGAGGGAGGAACCGAACCCAGAAACAGTCTCCTGGTGAGAGGATCTGGCAGTGAGCCTGGTGCCTGGATAATAAAATTAAGCACACAGCAGTAACAGCAATATGATTTGACTACTAATGTGTTCTCGCCATGTGGCTGGCAGTGGACTAAGCCTGGTATGGATGTTTTGTGACTTACTCTAACAGCCCTATCTGTCATATTCTCTACTTCTTCTCGCTCCATCCCTATCTTTGATTTTGTTTATTTATTGATTTAGGTACTGATGATGGAAGCCCGGGTCTTTCCACTGAGCTACATCTTCAGGCCTTTTTAGTTTTCATTTCGAGCGGGGATCTCATTAAATCATTACAAACTTGTGATCCTCTCAGAATGCTAACATCACAGATGTGCACCACCACACCCAGCTTCGTTTCCATCTTTTTCATCATCTATGTTTCTCTCCCTCTACCCTTCACCACTTTATTCCATGGTCTTCTTTTCCCCTTTCTGTGCTGAGGCCCTATCAGCCAGAGGCCCTGGAAGCCCCCATGCAGTGTCACAATGGTGATTTCAAGAGAATGCTGGGATCACACTTTCTGAGACTCTAAAGACATATAATCTTTTTGGTGGAATGAAGAATCACAAAATGGTTACAAACCCAATCCACATGAAAGAGTCATCAAGTCACCACCAAGAACCAACAGCCATGGTTTTACTGGAAGTCCCTTCAGAGGGACCCTCACCTGAGGTGCTGCTGCTTCTGTCTCTGCTGCTGCCTGAGGTCTGTCACTGTCCAAAACCTCAGGGATTTCATTGTCAACTGTGGCCTCCTCTGGACCTTCTCCTTCTCCAGCAGGAACCACTGCTTTCTCGGCCTCTGACTCTTCCACAGAGGCTCCCTCGGCAGGCACCGAAGTCCCCACGGCCACATCGGCATCCAGTCCAGGTACGACCTGAAGGCAGAAACTGGACAGGTCATACTTGTGTCTTCACACAAGTATGTCTCTGCTGTCCACCTCTCTTCTTTAGCTCTCAACAACTTAGGTGATATGATGAAAAGTGTGTGTTTAAATAAAAACACCACTAAAGTAAAAGACACACTGCCATGAATCCCTGTCATGACAATGCCCGCCTTGTTCTGAACAGTTACCCAGTCGTTCTGGCCACTTTCCGAAGCAGTTCTGGGAGTAACTCTTTCCTGAATGTCTTCAGTTGCACTGTCATGGTTGTCTTGATGTCCTGAATTGATTCAAAATGTTTACCTTTCACTTGTCATTTCGACTTTGGGGAGGAGCCGGAAGTCGCGAATACCAGATCTGGTCAGTGAGGTGGAAGAGGACACATCGTGTGTGAGGCTTTTATGGGCCTGCCTTCCTGGTGGACAGCACTGGGCAGCAGTGTTCACGGTATTTTCAATCATACCTTCTAAAGACACTCAGGAAAGAAGACTTGCAGAACTGCTTCAGAAAGTGGCAAGAACCATGAGATCAGTGTGTTTGGGGTGATTTTGAGGGAAGGATTTTGAGGGAAATTCATGGCAATGTGTCTTTTAACGTAATAAACTTTTAAAATGCAAATATTTGGGTTTTTAAAAATCACACTTCCTACATTCCTCAGCTTTCCTTTAAGTCTGTGTACCAAATGGAATTTGAGGAACCATGACATGCAGCATTCCTGACATACTAGCTTTATGGTAACTGTGGCCCCCACACTGGAAGCCATTTCCATTTTGTTAGCTGAGTGCAGATGACATGGAATGAGCCCTGGGTGACAGCTGACTCAGAAGACTGAAGAAGCCCAGCCTAGAGGTTGGCCGACAGAGGAGTCACATCCATGAAGCACCCTCATCATGCAAAATTAGAATGTAGAAACACTGCATTTTAGTGTAAATTTTAGAATCTTTGAAGGGGAAGGTTCCAGAAGTTAAGTCACTTTTAAGAGAAAAACCGAAGGGTTGTGTTCTCATGACAGCTCTTGAGATGCAGAAAAAAACATATTTTTGGTACACACATACAAAGTATAACTGGTATCTCCAGCTCCCAGGCCACAGACAAGCTCATAGCTTTATTGCTAAAGAAATTTGAAGGTTTTACCCAGAACATTCAGAATCTAAGCAAGATTCTTTCTAATTAGAAGTGGTTCATAAAAATAAGGTATGCACAACTGACTTGTAGGCTCAAATGCAGAAGTGTACGTGTTCATACTTCTGAGTTATATGTGTCCAATATCTGAGAACTCATACCTACGAACATGCCAGGGGTCTCAAACCCCTTGAACCAAAAAGGCTCTATATACACAAAGAGAGTATGTGTAAACTGGGTTTATATCACGCGCGCGCGCACACACACACACACACACACACACACACACTGCTGCAGATCAAAAAAACACATTATGTTAAATCATGAGCTATTCTCTTGAGGATACATAAATCCTTCCACACAAGTATGTTCCAAGCAGACATTATTAGCAATTGGATTTTCCTCTCAATTGAGTTGACACTTCATCTTTGGAAGAGATAAATTATTTTGACGTAATGATGATATTACCAAAAGTAATTTTTTAAGTCGTTCCATACAAAAAAATGTCCACTACTACTTCATAACTGATCTTCTGTGACCATCTTTAATTTGGCTGTATTATATTTTGTTGTAGCAAGATACACACGTTTATGACCTTCCTTTTTCTAAAGAATTTGAACAGGCAGTGTTGGGTGGAGGTGCTCTCCTTCTGACAGCGTAGCTGCTGGGACACCAGCCACCAGCAGGTGGAGCCCAAAGGCGCCGTCTACCCCTGCTTTTTCCTGAACCTCAAAGAACCTCAGCACCTGAGCTCCCTAATCTTTAGCACTACTCAGTCAATAAAGGAGGATACATTTGAGTCACCTGGTGGAAAATGGCTGTGCTCTGTGTGTATGAAATCAGACACAGAATGTTAAATGTTGCATGATTTCTCTTGTGTGAGATATCCAAAATATAAAGACTAAAGTAAAAGGGAGATGGCAGAGAGACAGACTTTGTGGAGATGGAAAGGAGATCTGGGGATGTTGACAGGGGAAAGGAAGGGAAAGCAAGAAGAATTAAGAGCACATGTATATGTGCTAATGGTCCACCATGAAAATATCATGCCCTGACATCATATACTAACAATAAAAGAAAGAAATGCAGCATATAGAAGAGCATTGATGGCAAAAAAATCACCAAAATATTGAAATTAATAATGATGCCAAAAGCAAGATGGATTCACACTGCTCTAATCACCGCTGAATTAACATTTTGATTTTACAGCATTTAAAAGCATGACATAAACAGAGAAAGCCCATCCACTGTCTATATTTTCTTGTCACTTCCTGTTTCTGACATTGGTCTGAAAACCAAGGAATTCCCCAACCCCCCCCCCTTATGTCTGCAGTCTGTCCTGTGTTTTGTTTTCTTACCAAGATATTTCCAATGCATCTTTAGTAACAGTAATAATAGCACAATATAAGACACAATGGAAAACGGAAACCCACTTGCTCAAGTCAGGTATTAAATCTAGACAAAGTTGAGGACAGAGTGGAGGGGCCTTTGAACAGCAGTAACTGCATTAGCAAGACTTTTCAGAAGTAGAGTGAGATGAACCAACAACGAAGGAATTGGTCCTGTGAAGCAGAAGCACAAGTGAGTGACCATCCAGTCAGACCCTCAGGGAGATGCCCCAGGAGAGGATTTCCACAGGGACCAGACTGCAAGGTGTGACAGTAGCCATTGGCTGCCGGAGGACTGGTTATCTCAGATGATTATGTCATTTCTTTATTTATTATTCCTCCCATCCATTGTTTTTGTGGTACTGCTAAGCCTGAACAATGCCTGAAAAGCTGCTTGCAACTTTTCTGGATGTGGACAACTAAAGATATTTTGATTCTTCAACTCAGTAAGAAATCTTATATGTATGTATAGGGCAGGTGATTTTAACTCAGACTAGGCACTTTTCTGATAGGATCAAAAAAGGACATCATGGTTTTTAAAATAAAATAAACAGTATACATTTTGATGTAATTCTATTTTTTAATCATTCAGACCTAATAAATAAATATTATTCATTTTACAAAACATGGATCATTCATCTTAGAAAAGCCATATAAATAGCTATATAACAGTTTTACTGATTTTTCTATTTAGTTATTTACTTAATGGTTTTCCTACCATTGAAAACTAGTTCGGGTGAGTTTCTAAATGTTGTAAACAAGACTGCAAGAAAGATCACTCTGGTGTGCAACCAAACAACTGTATAGCCTATGCATTTCACTGACTGAAGTATTGAACACTGCTTTACTGGTTTATTTAGGATGTCTTTGGGGAGATGAGGGGGATTCAACGATATTTCTTTATGAAAAAATTCACACAGAAAAATTGGAAGAATCATAAAACGAATATTCAGGCGCTCCCCCCAGTCACCTGGGATCTTCAGTTGACAAACTTAGCCACAGTGATTTGATTTACTCCTCAGTCGACTACAATATATTGTCAAGAAATGTACCCAGAGAATGTACAGGGATTCCACAGCCCTTTACATGTCTCTTAATATCTTTCTGTGCAGCTTTAACACAAGGACTATTGACTTGGAATAGCCTGCCACACTTTTTAGCTCAAAATCCAAATATTGTTCTAGCAACCTCTGATCTTGTCCTTGGAAGATCGAGACGGCTAAGTTGGAGGAGGCCTGCTGACCTAATGTCATCTCATGGTGCTCATATAATTCCAATCTAGCTGCTTGCAGACATTTGTTTTCTAACTTTAAATGTAAAAAGACTCAGAAGAACACCTCCACATGGTATTCTCTCCTCAGTCCTCTTGACTTGTGCTGGAGATTTCCCATCATCTACACACAGCAGTTTTCAGTAGGGAAACTTGAGCTCAAGCGAGTTTCCTCTGGCTTATTGGCTACCTTTGCTTCCAAAACTTTTCTGTCTCTTCTTTAGGATTAGCTGTTATTCATGAGTCTCCCTTTCGCCCTCTGGCCTCCCCATCTGTCAGCTCTGCCTGTGCGTTTCATCTGTGTGCTGGAAGAACTCTCCAGCGTCTCCTAGTCCTAAGGCTAAATCTCTCTGTGCTGTGACTTCCAGTCCCTCTCACTTCTTACGCAATTTTCAGCACTACAGTTCTTTTCCTGCAAAAGGTTTCTTACAGTGTTGAGCTTCCTTTCTTCTGACTTGATGTCTCTCTTTCTCTCTCCATGTGGCTGCTTATCATCTCCAATTTCATCTTCTGTTTCACCCATCCAAACCACCTTGAATTACATTGACAAAAATGGGAAGAAAGTTTTCCAATTTTGTCCTCTTATTCAAGTAAATTTTTTTTTCAGTTTGTTCTCTAGAGAGAAACTGAACCCTATCTAGTAAATAATCCTTTCCTTCTCTTGAGGTGCTCCACAAACCTTGCTCTTTTTAGGATACATTTATTCATTTAGTTATTTCCTGTGAGGTCAAAGCTCTCAACACTTGGAGATAAGCACGCATATCCCTGTTTCACTTTGCTCACTATGTAGAGGCCCCTGAATGTCTCTTTCAAATCATAAGCTGGGGAGGGATTTATCAAGACTTTACACACAAGCACTTGCTTGAATCTCCCAAATATATGTCAAAGATTGTACTAGAGTGATAGGAACAGCAGGTCCCAAAGGCCCGGATGCATTAGAAAGGGACCCTCATGCTTGTGCCTTCTATCTAGAGCAAGGATGGATGAAACTCTCACATATCGTTGCATTTCAAGCTCACCTACTATGCCACAAGGACTCCCAGGCTTTTGCTTTTGGGAAGTTCTCCTGTGATTTGCTGATGTTTCTAAGATGACAATACTAACAGAAACTTCGACTTTGAAAAATGCTCTTTTTAAAACAAACATCAACAACATGTAAATGAAAGGATAAAACTGAATTGGACGCTTTAGTGTTTTTTGATTTTTTTCATGCCATC